CATAGGAGTAGAGATAAATTAATGGTTAGTTTGATTGTTCACTCAATTATCTTTCTTTGTCTCCCTCTTTTTTCTTTTAATTTTCCTTTTCTTTACACTTGGCAATTTTCAGGTCCTCTTCATTGAGGCAAAAGAATCATCAACACAATTGCTTGATAATTAGCTTGAATTTAATCTATAAGAATTTTTCAATTTTTGCTGGCACGCTCGAATTTATGATATTTTTCTTCATAGGAAAAATAAGCTAATAATTTTTGGCACGTTTAGTGGGACGTCAAGTGTAAAAAACAAGGTTCTGAAAAGCGGTTGCGGTCACCGTAACGATGGCGGTGGCGCGGTTTGCGGTTGCGGGGTGTAAAGGCCATAGTGTAACGGTTGCGGTAACCGGAACCGTGAATTTTTTTATTTTTCGCACAATTTGAAAAAAACTTCCTGATACGCATATTTTTTTTCCATGATCATATTTATTGGGTTAAAAATAAATATTGATTAATTTTTGTTAATTTTTAAGTATGATCCAATATATTTCATATTTTTAAATCACTATAAACTGAGTTTTTTACATTTTATTTTAATAATTAATGACTTTATATTATACAAAAAATCAATCACTAACTATTATATATAAGATAAACAATGATAAAAGTAAGAGAATAAATAAGAGCCTAAATATATATATACATATTTTAACCAAGCCAAATAGATAATGACCACACTTATTATTATTATTATTATTATTTTCAAACAATATATAGATAGACGTACATAAATAAAATACTTGAGTAATAGCAGCTGAATAGAATAGCATAAGTCTTACAGCTTCAACAAATCAATAACATGTTCTTCATCTTCCCTCTTCTCTCTCTATCTCTTACTCCTCCATTTTATCTCTTTATCTTTCCTCTTTTCTCTATCCCTCTTCCCCTATTTTTAGCTTTTTTTTGTATATTTTTTCGAAAGAAACAGTTTGGAACCGTTACGTAACGGTACGTAACATGTCGCTACGGCTGTTACGGTACCGTTACGACCGTTATGGTAGCCGCTACGGCCAACACACCTGTGAATCTCAATCACACTACAAAAGCGGCCTTAATGGGTGGCGGTAACCGTCAAAACCGTTACGTAACGGCGTTACATAACGGTTGCGGCCGCTTTTTAAAACCTTGGTAAAAAATGAAAAATGAATTGGATTCATCCATTTCAAATAGCCTAGATGAAATATTTTGGCGTAAACAAAAAATTTTGAATCTTCAAGAAAAAAGCCATTTTCTTGATGAAACAAACTTCCATCCATTACAATATTATTTGGTGGAAGAAAAAAGGCACGATTTAATTAGAGAAATTCATAAGCTTGAAATGAAAATTCGCTAATAGAATGATGAGTTGTCAACTCTCACTACCAAGTCTTTAACCGAGGCTTTAATGGGCAGAATTGGTGAAATTTTTTTTCGAATTTTTCCATGGTCGAAAATAGCAAAAGCAAAGAGTTGGTTTTATCAATGGCTCAAGGGATTAAAAAACTCATTTTTAAAGAGCCAACTTATGAAAATAACATGACTAAAATGCCTATTGTTAAGCCAAGCATGGTAAAAAATAATGTTCTATATAAGACTCGGGGGGTTGAAAAACCCATTATTAAAGAGTCAAACCATGGACTTAAGATGTCTATGAAAGATTTTCATAAGTCATTAATGGCTAAAATAGAACAATCCATTAAGCCAAAAAATGATGAAATTCATATGGAGGATTTTCTTAAGCCATTAATGGCTAAAACGGAACAACCCATTAGATTCAGAAATGATGAAACTCACATAGAGGATTTTCATAATCCATTAATGGATAAAATAGAAAAACAAGCCCATTTGTCAATGAATGATGAAAGTTATTTGGCCAAAGAACATGTTCTCAAGCCAAACATGGCTACGAATGATGAACAATTTAAATTTCATGAATTTGAATTTTTTGAAATTATTCAAAATGTCAAGTTGTTTGTATTTTTAAGGCCATCTTGTACTATAGTTCATGGTGTTCGAAATCCTTTTTGGATTTGTGGTTCACATCAAAATTTAATTTTGATGAAATGGCTAATAAAACAATTATCTTTAAACATTGTTTTGATGAGTTTCATGCACTAAAGAACAACTTAACAATTTGAAATGTTGAACTTGGCTAAGAAAAGCCTATGCATTTAAATCAGTGGTTGAAAATGACTTATATTTTCAAATTGATGGCCAATTTTTTATTTTTTTTTTTATTTTTTTAAGGCACAAAATAATGGCAGTATGTGTGCTTTGGTTGTAGTCAAACAATGGCTCTTGCATTTAACCAACAAAATTGTGAACATTTGGTGTTGTTATATCATTCGAAGTACTTTGTTGATATTATTCGAAGCACTTTGTTGCTTAGATTAGTCATGTGCTTTGTTCGGCCTTTCAAAAATTCAAATAAACATCATTTGTAACGGCCGCAGAGGATAATGTCGGCACCATAAATCTGTAATTTTATTATTTATTATTTATATAATTGCAGGACATGTGACACCCTTCTACTCATTTGGAGGTTATGATAATTTATGAAATGTGGAAAGATGATGGAGAACAAAGTGGAGAACATAGAGCATGAGGTGGAGGTTGAAGGAAGTTATGGAAGATCATAGAGTATGAAATGAAGAAGGTGAAAGAGTAGGTAGTTATAGATATTTTTTTCCTACAAATGTTTGCCTATAAATAGTCATTCATGGCTACATTGTGAAGGATCTAACTCAAATCAAAGACAATTGATTTCTATTTTTCTTGTCATTATATTTCTTACACTTTATTTTATGCACTTCATTTTCGAAACATAGGAGTAGAGGTAAGTTCTTTGCACTTTATTTTATACACTTCCTTTTCGAAGTATAGGAGTAGAGATAAATTAATACTTAGTTTGATTGTTCACTGAATCATCTTTCTTCGTTTCACTCTTTCTTCTTTTAATTTTTCTTTTCTCTACACTTGGTAATTTTGAAATCCTCTTCATTGAAGTAAAAGAATTGTTAACACAATTGCTTGATAATTGACTTGAATTTAATCTGTAAGATTTTTTTTAATCCTTACTGATACGCTCACATTTATAATATTTTCTTTCATAAAAAAATAAGCCAACAATAACATAACACAAAAAATAAATATAAAAAATAATATTTATTGGAAAGTGGCTTCTGTTCATTCTATGAAATGGATTTGACAGTAGAATTTACATTTTATGGATTCATCACATGTCTAATTTAATAATATAAGCCATTTATTTGGTAGAATTTGTCAAATAAATTATTTAGATAAAAAATTAATTTATTCAGATATTGATATACACATGATTAAATCATACAATCATGTAAATAAATAAATAAGTATGATTTTGTAAATAAAACATCTATTTTTTTAACCTGATTTTATGATCTAATAATCATGTGATTATTAACATTTGATTAATCTAATTCCTTTTATAGATGATCTACTCAATAAATCGTGTAAAATTAACAGTTCAGATTACCGAATAGGCCTGGAGTGCACTTACAAAATATAGGCCATGTTTGGTTTTATATTTTGAATTTTTTTTATAATTTTTTTTTTGAAAAAAAATAAAAACTAATTTGATTAAAATAAATAAAAAAAATATTTTTTAATTTTTAAAAATTATTTCTACCATGATAAAACTACATAAAAATATAATATTTTTCATCAAATTTATTTTTATTTTTTTTCCTCGAAACAAATCCTCATACACACATAAATTGTTTAGTAGTAGCCAGAGTGTAAAAATGGCCCATGGGCAGCTTGAAACCCTTCCACAGCCCAGGGTGAGCCGGGCCCGATTAGGCTCGAGCCATCATTTTGAGGCCCGGTCCAGCCCGTGGGGTCAGCCGGTGGCCCAGTCCATCGGCCCACTCAAAGCCTAGCCCGAGGCCCAGTCCCATTTTTTGTGGGAAACAATAAAATTTCGGTGGAAAAATAGAAAAAAATAAAAAAAAATGTTCAAGTATGTACAACCTAGGTCTAGGCCCACTATCCCCGCCAGGGCCTAGGTCTAATTTTCTAGCCTAGGGGCGAGCCCGGTCCAACCCGAATTTTGATAGAGCCCACGAGGCCTGACATGGGCCGGCCCAAGCCTGGGCCCGAGTAGGTCGGGGCAGGCCAAATTTACACCCCTAGTGGTAGCCCTACTACTTTTTCTTTGTTTTTTTTTTGTTACAAAAAATTCTTTCCACTCTCCTACACGTCCAAGATAGTGTCCTTTGCAAAGATCACCAATATGTCCTGTTGTGCATTTCAAGTAAAAGACTATAACTTGAGAACTTGCCTCGATTGTCAAAGACAAGTTCTGCTTAAGTCAGGGCTCGCACAATGAAAGAATAACGAACTCACATTAAGTGTTATGATAATAACAATTTATAACTTAACCTCCTAACCAATTACATTGCGTCTAAAAAATTGATCCAAAAAATTTCAAACTTAGGGTTGTTTGGTTTTTGAGTTGGGTTAAAAAATCACAAAATGACAAAAAAAAAAAGAAATCAAAATATCATAAAAAGTCAAAAATCACAAAAAGACAAAAAATATTTCTACCATTCCAAAGCTAAAAAACTAAAAAAATAATCAAAAATATCAAACGAATCAAAAAATCTCAAACTAAAAAATTTAAAAAAATTAAAAAAACAAATAAAAAAAGTCATTGCAAACAATGTCTTAAGGGCATGTTTGATTGGAAGGATTAAAGTATGGGATTAGGATTATTAATCCGTGGGCCCAACTATCCTATGTTTGTTTTGACATTTGGTTTAGGACTATTAATCCAATGGATAATTAATCCAACAAATTTGTAGGATAATTAGTAATGGGGTAGGGGTGGGATAGTTAATACTACACTAATTTGATAGGATTATTAATACCTCACTATTAATATTGTGAATCAAACATGGCCTAAAAGACCTAAATCTGAACCCAATGCTTTTTACCAAATGCGCTACTCTCGCAGAAAAAAGTCCGGTCTTTGCGTTACCAATATGGAAATGGAAATCGAATTCGAAATAGGTAATGGCAGTAAGTGTAAATTTTAACCTAGGGTTAGACGTGCGGTTAGACCGCCATGAACACCCTATATATTCACACACACACGCGCATCTACTTGCAGTAGAGAGGGAGTCGTAATGCGAGCTTGAGAACGGAGGGTTTGATGATTCTCTCTTCTGGGTTAGGGTTTAGAGTTGGGTTTTCGATGTGGTCGTGTTCTTGATCGCAATATTTCTTTCTCTGTTTGTCATTGTCTTTGTGTTTTTGGCTTTCAATGGCTCGCGATGACAACTCTTTCGCTCTCTTGGGCGACAATGAAGGGGACGATATCTCGACCTTTCTCGCCCACGTAGCCTTGAAGGCCGAAGCTTCTTCCGCCACTGCGGAAAAGAAGAAGAAGAATGAACAGAGCCACCACTCTCACTCTCCTCCGTCAAAACCTCTTCCTCCTCCTCAATCTGGTAATCTTTGTTTTACAGAGGCTGTTTCTTGTTATTACGATCTGTATATCAATATATTATGTTTACATTTACGTGTATAGACGTAGATTTACTTAAATTTCAATTTTAGTTGATTTACATTTGTGGTTTCGTTAGGGTTTTGCGAGTTTTGACTCTATTGTTCAATTGCTGAGAAAACTGGGGAACAAAAAGATATTATTCGATCTTCGCTGAAAGAAAGCAAAAGAATCATAAAAAATTGAATTCGGTGGACACGTTTTAAGTTATTTGGTGAATGTGGCTATTAAAGATGCCAGATTTATTCTTTTTCTGTTTTATTATTATTTAATTCGCGTAGATTAAAAAACTGTAGAAAAAAATGTGTTGCATGTTTGTTTTTTATTGTTCTGTTCGTTGCTGATAAAAAAGGAAAAAGAAAAAAGAAATCAAAAAGCAATTTCGGAATTACTAATCCCCCAATCCATGTTCCCTTGTACTTATTGTCTGGTTGAGCTTCCTGGAATTTGGGAATTTCAAGTTTTTTTCTTTTAGTTTCTTTTAAATATTAATTTAGTTTTCTCAAAATAAAAATCTGTTTTGGGTTTATTTTCTTAGCTTTGCATTGTTGAATTCTGTTTAGTGATATGACCATATGGTATTGATTAATTTCAGTGAGAACTGAAAGCCGGGGAGGAACAGGAGGCCAAGGTCATGGTTCAGGGAGGTCTAGTCGGAATGATGTGCAGCAGTTTGAGGAGGGCTATGCAAATAGTTATCAACGAAATAACAGAGGAGCCAATGTTTATGAACAGAATAGTGGTGGAACTGATAGTTATGGGAGGTACAATAGAGGGTTTGATGGTCCTAGAAGGAATGGTGGAGTGGATGTTGGGTATCAGCAAAGCATTGGGAATGCTGATGGTTATCAAGGGAGTTATGGTGGGGATACTGCTGGGAACACGGATGATGGCAATTGGCAGGGATGGGTTCATAAGGGTACGCGTGCGCGTGGGCGTGGACGTGGGGGTGCTAGAGGAAGAGGCTTTGGTCAAGGAAGGGCATTGAATGAAGGTAATGGGTTTGAGAAAGAGAGTCAATTTGTTGAAGGCAATCAGCAACTTGAAAATAAGGATCAGGGAGGGGGTACTGGTGACGGTTGGGAACATGTGACTGAGGACCATTCAAGTTGTGGTGGTGAGAGAAGAGATAATGATGGTGGTGGTGGAGGATACAAAACTTGGGGGGATAGCTTCCTTGGTGTCCACAATGGAAATAATTATGAGGTGATGAATACCTCTGGGGCTAAGGAGGCACTTAGCAGTAATGGAGGTGATGATGATAGTGGGTAAGCAAAAACTTGTGATCTCATATTTGCTTGTTCTAACTGTTTTTAACAATGCTGAATTGTTTGCCTTATTTTTTTTTTCTTTTCTTTTTTTCTTTGTTATTACTATTATTATATTTTCTGAATGTTGTTTTTTTTTTGTTTTCATTGTTTTTCCTTTTTTTTAAATCTTTTTGTGGTGTTTGGGTGTGTTGTTGTTGCTTGTATTTTAGCATTCCAAAACTATTTGGAACATTCCTTTTGGCATTGGTTCCTCTGTTTGGATAAGTCATGTGGAGGTTCAAAATAGATCCTTTAAATGGGTGAAAGTACATACATTCTTATGTCCTCAACCATTTTGTACAATTGGAAGGACCAAAGAATAGAAAATCAGTATTTTTATTATAAAAGACATGCTTAGGGAACTAAGACTGTTTCATACAGAGATTATAACAAAAGTATGTTGTTGATATAATAGAAACCAAAGCCTGAATAACTTGCCCGACTTATGAATCAGTTTTCTATTTTTTATTCAATTATTTTTTCATGGATTTCAGGGGGATTTGTTTAGCAAGCAGGCACGTTCTTTCAATGCCTTATGCTCTAGTAGCTATAAGGCGTTTTAGTAGTATTTATATTTTATATGTTTATTTGTATCATAGCAGGTACTAAACAATTGTTTTTTTTTTCTTTTTAAACAATTTGGTGATGCCATATCTAGTGTTGGTCTTGATAAATTGGCATCATTGGTGAACACACTCTAATTTGTTGACATTCTTGTGTATTATATTTTATATTTTTTGCTTTGTGCCTTGATTATCTTTTGGCGTTTAATGGGCCTGATCACATACTGTGTACTTGTGAATGGTTTTCAACATTTTATTGGTGACTGATGTTGTATTTTCATGTCTATCTTATGTATACCTTGTGTTTTTGTTGCTCTTCTGTTCATAGTTTACTGTTTTTGTCACAGGATCGTAGCTGAAACTACTGAAATATCAAAAGATGCTTTTCAAGATGCTGCTCAGGATTCCTCTGGGAAGAAGGCTGAAGATGAAGAGGCGAAAGAAGCTATGAGGACCCAAGAGGCATTGGAAAAGGAAGCTAAAAGGAAGGCCTGGGAGGAAGAAAAAAAGGAAGAAGCAAAGGTAATGTTTCTGACACTAGAAAATATTTGAAATATTTTTTCAAATCTGGAATCAATATTGACATTCTTTCTTGATGATAATTTGTCTTTCAGAAAATGACTCTTGAACAATATCAGAAGGTGCTCCTTGAAAAGAGGAAAGCTTTGGAAGCTTTAAAGACAGAGGAAAGGAAGGTCACTCTTGACAAGGATTTTGAATCGATGCAGGTAGTTGGGAAAAAGGCAGAAGACAGCAAGCAGGTGGGCAAAACAGTCTACTTTCTTTCATTGGCTTTGTTTGGTTATTTGTTACACATGTTTATGATTCCATGTGTTCTTTTGATTTTATTCTAGGACTCTGAGAAGGACAAGCTTAAAAAGAAGGATGACAAAGTTCGCAAGGTATATCATTGGTTACATCTTTAATGAGCATGCAATCTTGTTTGCCGCAGTCTTCAAATTATTTAATAATCACTCGTTCAGCTTATAGTGGTATTTTGATGGTTAACCTAAAAAGTTTGTTGTATCTTTAAAATACAATTTTCAATTGCTGGACCTTATTTGATCTCATGAATGCTCATAGCAATTCTGCTTATCGGCTACATCTTATTCTTGATTTGAAAGATTGTTCTTTATACAAATACTGCAAGCCAGTATCGATGAGCACTTGTTCTTAATCCAACAAAAAATGGATTTACTGTTACTACAATCACTGCCTTTATGTGCTCAAAAGACAAGTTTCTAAGAATTTTCCAGAAAATGACAATATATTGGGATCTGTTTTAAACAAATTGGTCTGTACTTTTAGCAGTCAATGAGCATTAATGTGTTCCTAAAACCGGCTGAGGGTGAGGTTGAGAAGTATGATAGGCGTGATAGACGTGGTCGAGGCAGTGGTGGATACAATAGAGGATCTTCGAATTGGCAAGCAGCTGATCCTGCAAACAGGGATGCTCAACCGGATGGATTCCAGAAACCAGCTAAGGGTGAGGATTATGTTGGGAATGTTGATAGGCGTGGTGGTGGACGAGGTGGATACAACAGAGGATCTCCGGCTGATTCAACAAACGGAGATGCTCGGCGCAATCAAGTTGTGAAATGTGTTCCTGCGATTGAGGATGCTAATCAGTTCCCTGGCCTGGGTGCAGCCGTCAAGCCTTGACTTGTGTTCACTCTCTTTTTATTTTAGTTGATCGTTTTTTAGCCCTCCTAGTGTATATTGCTTGGTATCTTGGTGGATTGGATTCTCTGTTTTGCCCTGGCTAGATTTTTGACAAAATTATATATGTTCAGTGACGTGGCCGAAATTTTGAGTTGGATACACTAGTGAAAAAATAATTTACTGATCTCATTTTGTTTGATTTTTATTTAGTTGTCTAGCAAGTAATATGGGTAGCGTGTGGTTTAGTTTTAAAATCATTATTTGAGAATAGTGTTATATTGAGTTTGTGGTTGTTGAATGATGAATTGAAAAGAGAAGGCTGTATTTGGTATGGCTTTAAAATCACGATTCCACCTTTGCATTTGAGTATGATGTTTAGTTATAACTTTTAATAATTAATCCTACGTTACTTTTGAAAACTCATTTGAAGAGGATTTCAAGAGGGATTTGAATTTTGAAATTTAGGAGACCTGGTCGTCGTCTCGGACTTTTAGTCGGGCAATATTTTTATTTTTATTTTTGCAATTGGCACATGTTATTTTTTATATATTAAATAAAAAATATTTTTTTAATTTTTTTGGAGCTTTGAATAGAATTTTTGGTTGTGTGTTTGGTTATGAGTTATAAATTTTTTAATCAAATACATATGTTACATCAATTATTCTAAATTCAATTCCAAATTATTTTCAAAATTTATAGCCAAACAAGATGTGCACACTTAAATCATAATTTCAAATCTCACAAACTTCAAATATAAATTTATTCTCAAATTATAATTTTAAAATTTTATCGAACACAATCAAAATTTGTTTAGTTATGAATTTGGAAAGAGTTGAATTTTTAAAATAAGTTTTGAAATGATAAAAGTATGTTTGGTTGAGTTTTGAAAAGAATTTTCAAAATTTAATTTAAAATCTTATAGCTGATAATTAAACACGCAGTTCAAAATTTCATTGAAAATTTTATTTAAAATTCATAATCAAACTTTTTTTAAATTTTAATTTTAAAAAATAATTATTGAAAAAATAATTTTATTATTTAAAAATTTTAAAAATTTTTGAAAATATTTTAATTTAAAATATTTAAAAAATATATTATTTTTTTGTTAAAAAAATATATTCAGTTATTGCTTTAAAATTACTTTTGATTGTATATTTGATTAGAAATTTTTTTTAATTGTTTTGTTTCAAAATGGTCTAAAAAAATAATTTCTGTATTTAAAAAATATCAAAAATAAATACAAACTTTTTGTTTTCAAATAACAGGTTGTAATTGAAAAAAAAAAAAAACCACTATTCCGATTAACTGACCAAACATCCGGGAGGTCTCAGTACACAACTAGATAGACCCAATTCACAAATTCAAAATTCAAAAATTCATACTGCCAAATATGTATTAGAATGTGTATTTAAATGTAATTTTGAAATCAATTTTTGAAAACTTAAATCAAATATAACTTTCTATTATAAGGATGGAATTATGATTTGATTGTTTTGGTTTCCTGCTGTGATAACATTTCAAACTCTTTCAGCTCGCAATGGATCAAAAGTTTTTCAACCAATTCCATTGCTTTTTAAGGATTTTGGGTTGTTTTGAGAAGTTGATTAAAAATTAAATTATTTTTTTTGAATAAACGTGTAAAAAAAAGTGATATAATGTGACTCAAAATAAATTAAAAATCAAAAATTAACTTTTTATTTGTTAACCTTTGTCTTTAGAGCACTTGTTAAAAATCTTAAATGAATTGTGCATTTTTCACAAAAGTGAGTAATGAAATATGTATAATTTTTTAAATCATCTTAATATGTCTTAAAACTACACATTAACAACCCCCTTTGAAGATCTAAATCGAGCCAAATGAGGTTTTTCAAAAAAAAAAAAAAAAGAAGGGTGAGTAGGCTTTTGAAAGTTATTTCTATCGGAAATAGTATGTCTCTGTTAGGTTTGATTTTTTATAAATTAATTTTAGGTGAATTTTTATTTATTTTAGTGACTTTTTAAAAAAAAATATTTTAATTAATTTATTTTTTGTATATTTTAGATGCAACTAATCAAGATACATCTAAAAAGTAAAACAAATTGCCTAAAATATTAAAAAATTCACTTGAAACACATGAAAATTAAAATAAAAATATGTTTGTATTTTCATTTGGATTTTCGTTTGGCTTTAGTGATTTTTTTTTTCATTTAATTAAATTTTTTTACTTTTTAGATATATTTGATCTGACTAAAATTGTTAGATATATCTAATCTTAACTAAAATATCTAAAAATAAATTTTGAAAACTCAAACCAAACAAAACCTATGGATTTTTACCAATCCAGTGAAATAAAATAGAATTATTTTTTTGTTTAATCCCCAGTATTAAATTGCTAATACTACCTCCCTCCAGATTGACATTATCATGTGTTGGGAATATGATATAAATAATAAAATTATTATTCACTCTAATAGCTTAGTTTTTAAAGTTGGTAGTCAACAATTTCGAGCTAGTTTGGGGTTGGCTTTTGTGGGTTTGATTTTTTAGTAACTCAAAAAGTAAATGTATTTAGGAAGTTATTAAAAAAATTATTTTTTGTGATGAAAAAGTTAAATATGACATTGACTTTTTTTGTCGATGGCAAATCAGTCAAAACACCCTTCTTTATACCTTGTTTGTGAGGCTTCTCCACTAGTGTTTCCCATTTTTTAAACCATCCTTTTTTGGGCCTTTAACCACTAAATTTCAAAGTATTTTCAGTGGGAAAAAACCTATTTTGAAGTCCAAAATTGGAGGGGTTAGCCTCCCCTCCTTGTGTCTTGTTTGCCAACCTAGTTAACTCCATCTGGTAGCACGTTTTTCTAGCTTAATTTAACTCAAGTCCAGCATGTTTTAGCCTCTGAAATACCTTGCTTTAACTCTTTTGGGGGCTGGTTAGTTCATTTGAGTCTTGTTTTTTTTCTTTTGGGGCTAAAAAATGGTTTTTTTGGATTACACCAAATGACTTCTATGGTATCCGAATAGATAATAAATCCAATATATTGGCTACACGAGAAAAAACGTGTTGAGAATATAATATAAATAATAAAGCTTCACTCCTAAGGCCATATTTGTTTAGCTCCATAGATGAGGCGATTGGACTAGCAATTTTATGGATTCTACATAACTGATGTTTGGTTGACAAAAATGTAATGGGACTAGTAGTCTCATGGGATTATGAATCCCCAGCTTTCCCATGGGAGGGGAGTAATTACTAAGGGTGTGAAAATATAATTTTGCCATTACAAAAATAACATAGTTAATTTTGACAAAAATGCAATGGGACTATGAATCCCTCCACATGGTAGGATTAGCTTTCCCATGGAAGGGGTGTAATTGCTAATCCAATCCCATGAGAGTCGATGTGAAAAGACAATTTTGCCCTCACATTACAAAAACAACAAAGTTAATTTTTATACAATGATAACTTTTAAGTAATTTCATAGGTTTAATTCCAACTAACGAATACTACCATTACACTAATAATCTCATCATTCAATCTCACTGTACTGATAATCGCATCCAACTTAATTTGCTAACCAAACAAGGCCTTAAGCTTTTAGATGGGTTGAGGTTAAAGCATCCGCATCAAGCTTAGTAAATTTGAGTCAAATTGCAATAAAAAATCTAATTTTATATTTTAACTAGCATTTTATATACACATTTTATCAGACTCTCTATTCTAAAATTTAATTTTATAAAATATTCATTTTTATTGGATGGTCGACCACTTGGTGAAAATTGTCCAGTTTTGAGAGATATTGGGTGGTCAACTACTTGGTGAAAATTGTCCAGTTTTTTCATTTATTGGGTGGTCAACTAGGTAGTCGATTGGGTGGATGACCGAATGATTGACTACTTGGTGAAATTTTCTCTAGAATAAATAATAAAATAGTATATAGTTTGTGGACAACATATCTTTACATCAAGCGATATATTGTAGTAATGTCAAAATATATATTTTTTTAATAATTAGCCTAATACAAGGATTCTTTTAGACCTTATCTGCCTAATACAGCCACAAAATACTACTAGAAAATTGACTTTTTGCGACTACTTTTTGGCGACTGCTTGTTTGGCCGTCGCAAAAGAAAAAAAAAAAAAACCTCCAATTTATATTTAACATATATTTCTCCTATTTCCTTTTATTTATTTGCTTTTGCCCTAGCTTGGCTCGCTCAACCTCTCTCTCGCTGTCGCTCTCGCTCACCGGTATGAATCTCCCTATCCCTCTTGATCTTAATCGATTGATCTCTCAATCTCTCTATCTCAATCTCTCAATCTCTATACCTCTCTCGATCTCTCAATCTCTCTCAATCTCTCTTTGTATCTGCGTACACATTATTTACTCTCTCTGCAATTTGAGCGATTCGTCGCAGAGAAACCCTAACTCTGCCATGGAAAAGTTCTCTCGGAGCACTCAAATGCAGCAGAGTAAGCTCACCTCTCATGCGTTTCATCTACCTCAAAATTCACCTACATTACGTGCGCGCGCACACACACAAAGACTATCTTTGAGCTTCATTGTGTACATAGTGTCCTTTTGAAACTCACATTTGTATCTATAAACATAGGAATATTAATTTTTATTGAAACTTTCATATAAACTTACATCTGTTTTCATTCTTTTGAACATTATCGAAATTGAGGGATAATTGAGGCTAAAACCCCTGTTCTCCAGTAAAGTCTCATGGCAACTCACATTCCTGTGAGTAATTGCGAAAATTTCTGATTTTGTGTATCCCAAGGTGCACAGATGAGTGATATACTCATCTGGCGTGATATCATATACCAGTCCTGGATTGATGGCTCTCTCAGGGTTTACATGTCCAGCTCTAGTTGTGAAAACTCCTGCAGGTTTGTCTCCATCCATTATTGGCCTTCCTGAATGGTCTGTGATTTCCACTGCTGTCATGATTGCAGATTTAATAGCTGCCGAGTCGATGTTGGATGAGCTGAGTGGATCAGAGCAGCAATTCCACTGACATGTGGACAAGCCATGGAAGTTCCTGACATGACAGTGAAGTTCACCCTCCCAACCTGTGAGTTTTTCCTTTGATAACAATTTCATAGGGATTTTCAGATTTGTGGTTTGTGAACTTAAAATATTGGTTCCTGAAAATTACATCTTGTTTTGTACTGGTGTAGGTCTTTATGTTTACTCATCCAAAGTACTCAATTACAAGAAGC